GTGCTGTTACTAGGGGATTCAGGTGACCTTTTTTTTGTTTGTTTGTTTGTTTACAAGTTACTTCATGTTCTGTATTCTTTCCTATGGTAAATAGGCGCTCACTTTTCTCAAGTTTAAAATGGCACCTATGTACTGGATCACATGTTTTGGCTCCAAATGTGCCTTTTAAAGGTTTATCCTTAGGCCAAGATGTGACAGCAGTATTACTATGAAATTTATATTCTTTTCTCCTGTTGTCTTTGAATCTAAGACTACAAAACAATCATCAAGATATGAGAAGAAATTGATACCACACCATCAGAGGTACGTAGGTACAGGCACCATGCATTTAGTGAAAACTCTGGGCATTATTGATAGACCAAAAGAGAGGACCTTGAATTCATAAATCTTGTTGTCCATACCAAAATGAAGAAAACACATTTGTTCTTGTCAAATCAATATGTGGAAATAAGCCTCCTTGAAATCTATCACCACAAACCAGTCCTCCTTCCACAACATTAACACTGTAGACAACATCACCATTCTGAACTCCTTTGTTTCTATTTGTGAGGATGCAGGACAGATAAATAGGCCTACTTTAGTTTAAATGATCATCCAGGACCGATCACAGCAGATGGAAAGCTGAATGTAGTAACTGAAGAGGCATTAAATAACATTGAGTGCCTGCCTGTCTTGGAAGAGTCGGACAGTGAACCAACTTTAGCAGAAATAAAAGCGGCCTTGGATTCCCTCGCCTCCGGCAAGGCACCTGGGAATGATAACATCCCCGTTGAAGTGCTGTAAAGAGATCATCACCACCGAGCTGTATCAAATCTTTTGTCTCGGCTGCAGGGAAGGTGGAGTACCAGAGGACATGAAGGATGCAAACATCTTCACATTGTATAAGAACAAAGGCGACAGGGGCGACTGCAATAACTACCATGGCATCTCTCTTCACAGTGTAGTATGGAAACTGCTTGCCCATGTTGTGCTGAAGAGACTCCAGGTGCTTGCAGACAGAGTTTATCCAGAATCACAGTGTGGATTTCGAGCTAATAGATTCACCACTGACATGGTATTCTCCCTCAGACAGTTGCAGGACAAATGCAGGGAACAACAACAGCCACTCTTTGTGGCCTTCATAGATCTCACAAAGGCTTTTGATTTGGTTTAGAAGGGATGGCTTTCTTAAAATACTTCCCAAGACTGGATGTCCACCTCGACTCCTTAACATCATCGGGTCCTTTCATGAGGGAATGAAGGGCACTGTAGTTTTTGATAGCTCAACATCCCTTTGACATCTGAAGCGGAGTGAAACAGGGCTGTGTCTTTGTGCCGATTGTTTGGGATCTTTATTGCTATCATGCTGCAACACGCCTTTGGAACTGCAACAGAAGGTGTCTATTTCCAGACTACATCAGATAGAAAGCTCTTTAATCTCTCTAGATTGAGAACGAAGACCAAAGTCCAGCTGAAATGCATGCAGGACTTCCTCTTCGCCGATGATGCAGCTGTTTTTGCCCACTCTGCTGAAGACCTTCAACAACTCATGAATCATTTTAGCAAGGCCTGCCAAGACTTTGGACTAACAATCAGCCTGAAGAAAACACAAGTCATGGGCCAGGGTGTGGACTCACCTCCCTCTATTACCATCTCCACACAAGAATTGGAGGTTGTTCATGACTTTGTGTACCTTGGCTCAACGATCTCTGACACTCTCCCTAGATGTCAAGCTGGATAAACGCACTGGCAAAGTAACTACCATGTTCTCTAGACTCACAAAGAGAGTATGGCTCAATAAGAAGCTGACGGCATATACCAAAATCCAGGTCTATAGAGCCTGTGTCCTGAGCATACTTCTGAACTGCAGTGAGTCCTGGACCCTTTGTGCACGGCAGGAGAGGAACACGTTCCATATTTATTGTCTCCACCACATTTTTTGGTATGACCTGGCAGGACAAAGTTCCAAATAGAGTAGACCTAGAACGAGCTGGAATTTTTAGCATATATGCATTACTGAAACAGCAACATTGACGTTGGCTTGGGCATGTTGTGAAAATGGCTGATGGTAGGATTCCAAAAGATCTCCTATATGGAGAATTAGTGCAGGGAAATCACCCCAGAGGGAGACCACTGATGCAATATAAGGATATCTGCAAGCGGGATCTGAAGGCCTTAGGAATGGACCTCAACAGAGGGGAAACCTTGACATCTGAGCATTCAGCCTGGAGGCAGGTGGTGCATCATGGCCTCTCCCAATTTGAAGAGACCCTTGTCCAGCAGGCCGAGGCAAAGAGGCAGACCTGAAACCAGCAAAACCAGGGAGCTGGACAGGGAACAAATTGTATTTGTCTTCAGTGTGGAAGGAACTGTCACTTTGGAATTGGCCTCCTCAGACACTCTAGACACTGTTCCAATTCTTCCATACAGAGCATGTTACCATAGTCTCGAGACTGAAGGATGCCTAATCTAGTTCAAATGTTTTTCCACATTTGTCTTTTTCTGTTGTGTTTTCTGTTTTTGCTCTACAGATTGAGATCAAGAGTGTGATTTCAGTTTCAAGAGGGAATCTTAAGTCTTCACAAGATGAATCAGATTCCTGAAACCCAGATGCATTTGGTCTCAAAGATGCTGAACCTGAGCAATCAGGTCAGCAATGGTGTTTATGCAGTCATTTTGATTTCGTTTCTAAGGTGGTTGGAGCCGAGTGTCGACATCAAGAGGATTTCCAGGCTGAGCATTGCATGCTAGAGGCCCTAACATTTACAGTGTCTATCTTCCTTAATTTTAAGCACCAATGTTGAAGTGTTTTTGAGGTTAAAGTTCTCTATTGGTATTATTCTCTGTTTCAGAGGTCTCAAACTCAATTTACCTGGGGGCCGCTGGAGGCAGAGCCTGGGTGAGGCTGGGCTGCATCAGATTTTCTGCCAAGCAGAGCAAGAGCCTGAGGAAGCTGCCCAGGAGTTTCCTTAGCCCGGCTGGGACTCTGAGGAGGGGCATGTGAGTGAGCCCTCGTCGTCGGCCACGACCCCCTCTGTCTCCTTCTTCACTACCACCACCTCCAGCAGCAGCAGGACGAAAAAGCGGAGAAGGGAGGGAGCACCAGCGACCGCCTAGCTGGGGGGGAGGAGGGCATGACATAAATTTTTTTAAAAAACCTCACAGAATTCGCCTTGGCAAAGGAGAAACGCCCCCATCGGTACCCGCAAAATTAAACAGAATGCCCCCCCCACGCACACGGAGGTCCAGCAACTTTCCTCTGAAGGCCCACCTCAAAAAAAGGCGCACTCAGTAGCAGCAGCTACCCCCACCACGACAGAGGAGCAAACTTTGCAGGGCAAGCCCAGGCAGCATCCAGAACTGAGGTGGCTGAAGCAGGACGAGGAGGAAGAGGAAGCACCACCGGGTGTTGAGGTGGCCGCTGGGGGTGCCAAGAGAGAGCCAGAGAGCCGCTTCCTTGGAAGAGGTGGCAGCAGCTGCTGTTGGCGGCTCGGAAGCGCTCTTCGAGGATGGGCCGGGAGTGAGCTCAGCTCTCAGGCATCGCTTGGTGGCGGCTTGGGCACTCAGGGAAAAGGGCCGGCAGCGCGCCTCCCTTGCCGGCTCTCCCCCAAGACAGCGCCTCTTGCACTCTCCATCCGGAACTGCAGCCTGCCAGCCGGCAGACAGGCTGAAGTTCTGGATGGAGGGTGCAAGAGGTGCTGTCTTGGGGGAGACCCGGTGAGCGAGGCTAGGCTTTTTTTTGGCTCTTGGCAGCAGAGGGCGCGTGGGCGCTTCACGGGGGCAGGCAAGGCGGGGGCCACAAACTATCATTTGGCAGGCCGCAAATGGCCCCTGGGCCATATGTTTGAGACCCCTGCTTATTTGGTCAGTATCAGAGTCAGAAGCATTTTCCATTTGGAGTTCACCAGGCTTTTCATCTTCTGGCCCATGAAATCAAGGTTTTAAACACAAAATTCCTTTTGATAACTGCTACAAGATTATGCAAAGAGTCCCGAGTAGCAGGGACCATGTTTCTAGCAGTGGTGGCCAGAATTTTACTGACAATTTATACTTGTGTAGAAGAAACCATGTATGTCATCACAGCAAATTGCATCTCATTAACAGAGATCTGATGGTGGTGGTCAGAAACAGACTAGTGTAAGAATAGCCTTGCAAGGCTCTTTTGAATTCTGCTTACAAAACTCTGGCATTATAACAAAACTTTTCTTTCTAGTGCTATTGAACAAACTGCAGGCAAATAAAGGGGCATTAAAAACCGTAAACAACCTACTGTGCAATGTCATTTCTAATTCCTTTGCCAAATAATTTTTTGATTAACAAGATTGGCTAAGTCCAAAGTTATAGCCAGTTGACAATTTAAGATGTATTATAAATTCATACAGGCTTAAGCTGATTTTCTGCCACCTAGCTACAGGGAAATGATTTTTAGAAACTAGAAATATCTTATTTTCTTCTGGTAGCCTTCTGTGTAAACAATTGCCCCAGTTCTCAGGAGATGTTATGCAACTGTAAATGAGCGGGATGTTGTTCACATCAATTACAGCAGTGTGCATCCTTCATGAAAATTCTTCTCTCCTGTAGTCTTTCCAAAGCTGCTGCCCTCCAGAGCTGTTGGGAACACAGTACTCATCACCACAGCCAGTATCATTTGGAAATTATAGAATTGGTAGTCCTACATGCTTACAGAGCATGGCAAGGTCCATAAGCAGCAGCCATGTTAGTATGTGTCATTGCGTATAACAAAATCAAAACAAAAATAAGAAAGTTTGGCACATTAGATCGAGACATTTATATCCGTATGAGGTTTTCTGGATTACCATCTACATCCCCAGCACACAAAACGTGGTCTACTTTATAGATGTATTTACATAGATTTTGGTACATTGTCGGTAACAAGAAGGTATAAGAAATATCTGGGATTAACCCCCCCCCACACACACACACACATACACCTGAAATCAACTACAAAATACTAATTTCAATCTTTATTTTTTTTTTGTTCTGAAGAAAACGTAATTTCTTTTTATCTTCCAGATGATTTGAAAAGAATAAAAACCAGTACAGACACAGGAGAAATAAAATATCTGATTCTGCATATGCTTGCCGACTTGAAAAGTAAATATGATTTCAGACATTATGACTTACAACAAATCAAATTTTCATACAGAAAGCAAACTTTTGCTTCTGCAACAAATTAGGTACCTCTTAAAAGAATTCAACCTTTTCAGAAATCAATTGGCATTCACAATCTTACATTACAGTTTGCAGTAATGTACTCATTTAGATGGTACCATTCATTATAGTAGTAGAAAGGGGTATTCATAAAGTGATGGTCCATTTAAATAGTAAAATATTCAAATATTATTAACAATGAAAAAGGAAAAAAAGAGAAGGGTCCAAAAGCATACCATAAAATTATTTTTTGTTAACACCGATGGAAAAGATTTAAAGATAAAGTGTGGGGTGGTTAAATATTTGAACTTAGAGACCTCCCTTTATGATATGGCATATTCTAAAATGTGACAGACCATCCCATCTGTATTTGGGGCTCTCTTGCTCAGTCTCCTGAGTAGGATAGTGGATGTTGGCTCAAAAGTCCTGCCTCAAAAGATACTACTTAGGATATAATGGTTGCCAGATCAGAAAATTTTGATCCCCAGTTAGGTTCATTGTGCCTTTTGCAGGCAACATTTTAATAGCCACCTCTGTCATGTATGGATGTTATTAAATACTACAGTATTAATAAACACTAAATATCTGTATTGCTTTACTAATACTTACACTGTATTAATAAATACTGTCATACTTCTCAGTTGAGGGACATGTAATATAATCAAATGACTGGTTTCACTGATATGATACACTTATCTGAAAATACATGCAGTTATCATTCTTGCTAATTTCAATGCAGAAACAATCCAAAGGAAGTAAACTGAATTCAGTACATTTTAAACGGTGGCTCAAAAGGAACTGAATTTAAATTGCTTAATATATATTAGTGCTAGCAGACAGTATAAATATCATGCTTACACTTACATGGCAGGGGTCCTAACAAGCAACAAAGAAATGATTTTGCCTCTTACTTCCATGTTTAATACAAGGAAAATCAAGCCATTAAAATATGTGTATCCCAGGAACAATACACTGTACCACCAGTGACCATTCTTTGTGTATAAACATTCACAAAATAAAACGGTAAACCTGTCCTGAGCATACTGTGATTGTAGCTGTAAAGACATACGGCCTTAAGAAAATTATTTGTAGCATGATACTGTGATATACAAATAAAAGTTAGGCAAAATACATAAAAAAGAAAAATTAAATTAGAGAAAATTAGAAAGGAAGTAGTAAGATGTAATGGAAGGAAAAGAGGTAACCATAGTTTTAAATAATGGAGAAAACAGATTCCTAATTTTAAAAACATTATTTTACTAAACTATGGATTTTAATCAAGGGGTTATCCAGGAATCTATGGTAATCGCCTATTATATTCATTAGGATAATCTGAGACAACTCTTTCATTGCGAGCAATTAGGCAGACTTCCTATTCTTACAACGAAGATTGAATATCACCTCTCTGGGGCTATTTTTTATTGCATTCATTTTGGAAATGCAGCTTTTATTTCTGCTGCTTTACCTCAAGCACACATCCCTTGAAGTGGTAAGCAAATTGAAATGTTCAAAGCCCTTTGCAGACTTGAATACAGAAACACCATTAAGCAAGAGCCTGCTACTATGAGTTTTCCCCTCAAATCTAATGACACATAGAATGAAACCTGTTGCCATATTTTACCCCACTGCCAAAGGGTGATGATGTCATAATCAGCTGTGATTTTTTTGGGGGGGGGGAATTAAGATTTTCCAATTTCTTTCCCTTTGCTCCTGGCATCTTAGAATCTCATTCATCCTCAGGAGGACATGAATGCTGTGGGATAGGAGGGAGGAGTCTTTAATTAACAAAAATCACTGTTGCTGGAAAATTCATCACAGAGCAGCAATCTTTGGCAATAAAAACTTCCCCCTCCTTCCTGAAAATCAAAGGGATTCCATTATATCCTCAGGAGTTTAGAGAATAAGTCTGAAGTGTTTAATTTAGAAAACATTGCAACTGTTGATGTTAGCTACTGTATATGGATCTTAAGTTACAGTAACTGTGTAAAGGGCTCTTGTTATAAAGTATATCCAGGAAAGCTGTTCCAGTGAATGTGAATAAATACTGTAGATGAAATCTTACACTTCATAGAAGTCACTCTGTGGCATCAAAGTTTCAGTTGAAACTTTTCCAGACAGAATGGCTTACCCTAGCACCTGAGGGATTTATTTTAAGAAAAATTAATCCTGACATACATCATGCCCCATTTGGTTTTATAAAATGTTTGTTAGACATATGCTACTTCGGCTGCTGTACCATTCTGAATGCACTTCTCTTGCTTGATGTCAGAGGCTAACTAGGGTTGGGTTAGGGTTAGGACTTCAATGGGAGACCACCAGGTCATTTCAATGTCAACCCAGGGCTAAGAAAGAATTGTGCCAGAGACCCTGTAAGAACCACTGTAGGTCAGAGCTGACCAGACTGAATAATGGACTGACTCAGTTTAAAGCCTAAGCTCCTTTTAAGAAAACTAATGTAAAATTTAGAGTTGGAATACAAAGGGGAATGTCCTACATGTACTCTTAAAACCTGAGCCACTCCTTTATTCCAGACTACTCCATGTCCCCTGAAAACTGCTCCACTGTTTAAACCCCCCCTCCCCAGCACTACCTCTACTGCAGCACAAGGGGCTGTTGTCCAACCTTGGTTTTCAAACATTTGGAAGGTCAGATTACAGGACTCAGCAGTTGAAGTCTAGGCCATAAAATAACGCCTGGCAAATCAGGGGAAGGAAAGTGGTGTACGTGTCTGGGACAATGAGTAAAAACTGCCAAACCTAGAAGGAAATGGCCTGCCCACAGGATTCTGAGCCTTCAACCTGAAAATTTACTCATTTCCTCATAGTCATAAAAAGAAGACTACATACAACCAATGGAGTGGATCAGCTAACAGTACTGTTTCAGCAGCAGAGGTAGGAGCTGGTCCAGTGCTAGCTTTTGAAGACTGGACGACCTTAGAAATTTTGTTTCCAGAAAGTCCATCGGCTAACAAAATACAGTACTAGCAATAAGAAAAATTATCTCAAGACCCCAAACCCGAGAATCCTAGCTAAAATGGAAACAGAAAAATGGGCTTACTTGTAAAACAGGAAATATGTATAATTTGGTGACATGTGAAAGTGCTTGGGTGTACATGGCATTCTTTGGGTTCTCACAAATTTATTTACATTTCAAATAGGCCCTGTTCCACAGGACCAAGCTTTTAATAATGCAATTTAAATACATACACATAAAACAATTTAACAGACTAAATATCTCTATAAGCAAAATGCACAGTCTCCCCAACTTTCAAGTTTGTGAAGCATATACAGAGATTTTTCACCAGTCATAGGGGAGGCATATAACAAGTGTTCACTGCAGACAACTTCACACATTGAATATCCTTCTCCAGATTTAAAATGCTAAGCCCTTTAACTTTACAAAAAATAAGGTGTTAGATTTTATTCAGTTACTAAAGAAAACTATATATAATTACTGAAATTCTTCCTTAAATATATCTTTCTTTTAAAAAAAATACTCTGGCTTAGTACAGTATCCTGTTTACAAAAACAAGACAAAACAAAAAGACCCATGCAAATATCCAAATGAGTCTTCTGAGTAAAATAGTGTCTGCCTTTGAAACTGAAATCTTAGGGTGTCAGAAAACAGAACAGCACACGAATATGCAGAATTCTTCAGGGATTGCCCTGAACATGTCAATATATTCAAACATGAAAGTTCATTTGATGCTATGAACACATCACAACGATGTATTCCTCATTTATAAATCATTTTTTAAAATGAACTGGCACATTAGGTAGAAAGTATTCTCTTCTCCATAAAAATAGGCTAACTTGAAATTTGTTGATAATATACCTTACTGAAATTTTTTGCTTTAAAACATAAACTTTCCTTTGAAAAAGAAACCTTTCAATTGCAACCTTTATTTATAAAGTAACTTTGTTATAAAACTTACCAGTTTAAGAAATTTTGTTGTAAAAATCACCTTGTCTTACACAGAATTATCAAATAGCAGGCACTAATTATTATTAATTTAGAGGAAAACAATGTTCCAACAGTCAGTGATGAAGAATACAGTATACACATTCAACATTGCAAACGCCTGATAGAAAGATCTGTTCCCAGAGACTGTTTTCCAAAGTCAACAATCCGATTGGTTCCTAAAAGTAGATGTTAATGGAACATGTATCGTATTAAGTTATATACATAGCAATATATGTTCTTGTGTATAGCTATAAAAAAACAATTCTGCATTAAATATATTTTAAATAAACTCACTTATTTTAAATAAACCAATGCAAACAAATACGTGTATCAGTGATTTTGTGAAGTAGCATATTCCCAAAAGTTTGGTTTAAAAATACTTTCAGAACTCTATTGCGAGATGACATAACTAGCTTTTTTAAAAGAGAAACTGACACAGGTTGTATTTTTATGTGAAAAACTGCTCAATTTCACTGCTTGATTTCAGTGACAGTCTAAGGTTAGAAATATTGCTTATGTGTGGCATTTTAAATTAATGGTTCTTCATGGCCTAGAAAACAGTTAATCAACTCCCACCTCCCAAAAAAGGAAAAAAAGAAAAGAAAAGATTATAGAAAAGACATTTCTCTTTTCAGCACTGATCTAACTCTGGAAAAATGGTCTTTGGCTGATGCTCTTATTGACATCAGAAGAGACCTGAAGTGGGTGAGGAGGGAGGCCAAGAAATATTTTTTCAAGTTTTGCACTTTTGTCTAGAACATACAGTACACCCTGCATATATTTGGTGAGAAATGAGACTAACCCTGTTCTGCTGAATGCATGCCCAGGAATGTGTACAGTGGATTACATCCTTTAAATTGCTAGGGTATTGTAATATATTTGGTGGTCATCAATTACTTAAAATACACTTTCCCTTTAATTTCCACCAGTTTGGTTGCTGATTTAGACCCAAAGATTCTACTGTATGAACTGTGTGAAGTGAGTGTATTCCACCTGCCAACACCTAAAAAACTGACCCCAACTGTCCAGGGAGACTGGAGGGCTGCCAGTGGTAGAGGATTGGTGATTTCCCCACTCCCCATAGGCAGCAATGACTCCCATCCATACATCAGGGTTTCATGTCCCAGGTCATTTTTGAGTGGCTTGTAATGGAGGCCTTGTCAGCCATCTAGGCAAACTGCATCCTATTAACAAGGCTGATGCAGTCCGGAAAGACAGTGCATTATACCTACTAAGGTAAAATAAGAAACAAATTAAGTTCTATACTTCCCTGCTATAACAAAAATGTATGGAAGTCTATCAAACAAGGTCTATAGTGCTTTCAACAACCAAATATACATCTTCTGTAATTTTTATATAATAGAACAGTGCAATATGCAGCATGCCCCCAGAATAGAAACCCAAACAGTCTGTAGTTATCTTAGCTTATTGGTACACTGTGGACCTCTGGCGCATCAAAAAGATGTCTGGGAGATAAAACCTCATAGCATCCAGTTTTGCATACTTTGGGCAATCATCACTTCACGGTGCGAAGGAGACTCTTTTCTCCTGTCAATTCCCATTTCTTTACTTTGGAAGAAGCCCTTGCAGTAGTTTTCTGCCTCTTTTCGGAAATGCCTATGATGCCTGTAGTGTTCAAAAATGTCCTCTTGGGCTTCCTTGCCACCTTCAGTTTTTTAGTATCCGCTTTTTCTTTCTTAAGGTGCTTTCCAACAGTAGTTTTCATTGCTTGGTGCTTGGGAATGGATGAACGAGAGGGTTTTCGGCTACAAGTAGAAATTGTCCTCCTCCCCCCCTCCTTCTGATGAGCTGTAGTCCTGCATGGCTGTACCTGTACCTTATTACCTCTCCTAATACAATTATGCCTGACAAAGGCGGGTGCAGATGCTTTTTTGGAAAACCCTGATTCTCGATTACTGCCTTTTTTTCTCTGCCATCCTCTCTTTGGATTATCTCTTCCCAAACACTCAGCTACATGTGACTTCAAAGGAGACGGGACTTGCGTAATATTAAATGGTGTTAATCGGAAATTGTCTTCCTGCTGTAACTCCTGAGGATTTGATGATGAGAGGACTAAATGATTATAGGATTTCTCTGAAGTGCTACATACTAGACATTCAGGCCTACCTAGAGAAACAGAGGATCCTTCTGTATTATGACTTGAATTCATATCATTCTCTTTAACTGGGTGCAACATGGAAGATGGAGATGAACTGTGTTGGTCTGTCAAACTGAAAGGCTTTGGTGTCATGAATTCATACTCTGCACTAGCTTGTTTCTTGCTGTTTGCATCAAGGCTGAGACTCCTGAATAGTTGGCGAACGTGTGGAGGCTTCCTGGCCTTTTCTCCAACCAAACTTTTCGGAGGTGTTTTTAAGATTCGATTAGTCAATGGGTCATAGTATTTAATACAACTTTGTTTGTATTTGTACCTTATAGAATCTTTACTATCTGCGGAATGGCAGCTTCTTCTGACTTTAGGGAAGTCTTCAGCTTTGCTCTTAAACGGCTTTATCTCTGGACAAGAAAGAACATAGACTACTGTTTGAGGCTGCACAGGGCTCATAATTTTGGTATAGGATTCAGGAAGCTTGAGGGCACACAGCCTAGTTTTCATGGCGGGTGTCTTCTCACTGTCTGGCCAGACGAAATTAGCTTTCTGATCAGGTGGCTCCGTGTTCTTTCTAATGATTTTTGGTTTCACTACTGGGTAGTGCACCAAACTGGTCTGTGTGCCATGGCTAACTTTGACTACTTGGCATCTTGATGCAAGGCGCCAATTCCTTTTTTTAGGTCTTCTCAATGTTTCTGGAATGTGTTGTGTTTCTGAGATTGCAGAAGAGATGCTGAAGTCACTACTTAACCCTTCAGTAAATTCTGGAAGCCCTTTTGCTGACATAGCCTTTTTCTTGTTACTTGCAACTGGATTGACCCTCTCTTCCTCTTTCATTTTTTTCTTGCTTAGCCTTTTCCTTGCACAGTTAGCCAAGGATTCAGTATCAAAGTGACACCGGAAGCGCCCTTCTCTGAAATCCCGCACAAGCACTTCAATTTTCATATCATCTTCATGCATGATTTGGGACCATGTTTTACCTACAAAGGAAGGAGGCACATGGGGCAGAGCTGGAAGAACTGGTTCCTCATTATGAGCTGAGACATCCTTTTCTGTTTCTGGTGTCTGCTGTACTACATCATTTCTAAGAATGGAACTGAGCTGGGTGCCATAGTTCTCATCTTTTAGAGTCACTTGAGCCTCTTTAAGAAGTTCTACACTTTTAATAGTTGCCTTAGATAGGAATGCTCCTGACTGAACAGCTGCATCACAGTCAAAACTTATGTCTGAGCCATGCACACTACTATGGTCTAAAAGCGACAAAATATTTATAGAGGAATTAGTATCATCATCTCTGCAAAGGAAGTCTTTGGGGGGAGTTTCATAGCAATATTTCAGAATGACCTCTTCAATTATTTCATCGATAGAAGTTGCAGCACTTCTACCCATTTTACTTTCTTTTTTGCCTGTTAACTGGGAAGATGCCTGAAAAGCCAGGGAACTGCTGGTACTCACAGGGTTGCTGGTATTCCTGAGACAGAAGTCAGAAATCTGAGTTTCATCCTGAGGTTGTAAGCCATCTTCTTTCCAATAAAGCTGACCTGAGATTACAGAGTTGCCTTGATTGCAGGCAGGACCCTTGCATGAAAGTGGAATAGTTCTGGAGTGGTCTGACTGCAAAAGAGGGCTCAAATGTGGATTTATCAATCCATCCTGATTGCATATGCCATGCTTATTTTGCTCACACTGGTTACTAGAAACAGAATCTGGTATTATTGAATGCTTAGTATTTTTTGTAAATATATGAGGAGTCAATGGTAAGTGACTAACAGGTAATGGACAGGGTAAAAGGTTCACAGCTGCATTTGGGGCTTTATGACTCCTTGTTTCAGTAACAGCACTTTCCACTGGAACAGGATTTTTTGTACTGCAAGAGATATTTATATATTTTTTGGAAGTTCCTAGAATGGGTTCTTTCCCACTTTCTAGTCTCTGGGTAGGTGTCACTGGCACAAAAGTGTTTTTCAGTTCCTCATGTGATCGCTGGGAAATGAGGCAGCCTGACTCAGCAGTGAATCCACTGTTGGTGCTTGGCTCTTCCCCTCGGCTTACAGTTCTTTCTTTCTCTGTCAGGTCCAGTGAAAGAAATGCCTCATCCCTTGGAAGCCGAAAGCTGGCAAATGGCATGTCATCATAAGTTGGTCTGGGGGAAAGGGGAAAAATTCACATAAATATTGTAAAAAATGCTAGAAGGGTGGCCACGTTAGTCTAGTCTATTGCAGCAAAACTAACAAAGGCTAACAAGTTTTATCTAGCATAAATTTTGCAGATTGCAGTTCATATAAGATACATCTAAAGAAACAGGATACAGTCCCTAAAAGCTTATGCCAAGTAAAATATGTTATTCTTACATGCCACAAGAGCAGCAAGAGATTGGTTTTGCTGCCATAAATATTGTAAATGCACTTTAACACTAAATCAGGATGTACAATTAAGGAATCGAGAGCCAAACAAGTTACAGTACCTAACTGAAAAGAGATATACTGTATTAGAACAGTAAGTAGAACACAGAGAACAGAATAGTACTATAGCTGCAAGCCAAGCAGACCACCAAAAAGCACCCCTTAAATTACTCTATGACTTATAGGTTACCATTTCAGTTTTCACAGATAATAAGGTTTTGATTTAACCGTTGAATGTTAACTGTGTAACAGTGGGGGAAGTGAAGAAAGCTTTGAAATTCTGCTGCATAGGAGAGACTGCAGCACTATTTCCAAAACCACTCCTAGTGCCAAGAATGTCTACCACAGTGATTAACATTCTTCTGAGCTACACTGGGGAAGGATCTTTGAGGACAGGATAAATAAAAGAACTTGAGCTTTCTTTCTGACAGCCTTAGCTACAGCAGCCCTACTTGTTGCAAGAAAGCTTCATGCAGCTAAACAGCTGCTAGTGATAACTAGAGAATACACAGGAGATGGAAAGCACAAGCGTCTTGTGTTTTATAACACATCTTCTGTTTTATGACATTAAGTCACTGGACCCTGATACAGTGTATTTTTCAGATCCAAGCCCTTGATAAACCATATCATTGTTTAGCTTTTATTGAGACCCCAAAGAGTGTTCTATCTGTTCTGGTGGCACCCTGAAATCTAAAAATTGATGCACTGCCTTTTCAAAACGGAAAACCTGAGCAACATGAAACTGTAGTCTTCAGAAATACCCTTCCTAACATCAATATAGCACGCAACATAAAAGCATAATGGATAAAATACGAAGTCATAAAACCCCTTTATACCAGCTTTCATAAATAATACATCAGGTACCAGAGGAAAATACTATTTTTGTCTGAACTCATTAGAGTGACCTACTCCCCAGCTCGTGGCTGCCACATGTGAGTGATGTGATTATGGCTAACCCAGAATAGATGTTTATTCCACTCTAGGAGCTGATTATAAAGAAGTACCAATGGTAACCTCACAGTGAATGCCCAGGTGGGATTCTGCTCTTGACAGGCTTGGAAAGTCAAAATAGAAGGAGGAAGAAACACTGAATGGTACCTGTTGAACTATTATCTCACTGAAGCACAGGATTACTTTTTATTTGAGCTCAGCACCATGTTAGCCTCCAGAGCAGGCATGTGTAACGGATCTCCTACCACACTGAACAGCAGCCCATGAGGCACATTTTGTGCCAGGCCCTGGGCAGCTGTGGCAAGGTGAAGCAGAATAAGACTCAGCAGTAGAGATGGGGGTATTTGTATACGAATATCCGCACACAGGTGTCATTAACGAGGGTCCAGCCCCATGGGGCCAGACAGTCCACTCACTGATCCGCCGCAGATGTGGATGGTGCGATTCTACGAATGGCTCCACAGTGCACGATCTCCTTGCCACTCCTGGCAGGAGGCGGGAGGACAAGCCTCGCTGCAAAGTCGAAGAGTAGATCGCACACTGTGGAGCCATTCATAGAATCGCGCCATCCACGTCCACAGTGGGTCGGTGAGTGGACTGTCCAGCCCCATGGGGGCTGGGCCCTCGTTAACACCACCTGTGTGGGGATATTCGTATTTATATATGAATACTCCCATCTCTACTCAGCAGGCAATACTGTACTGGATTTTTGGCTTCAGAAAATGGAAAGATGGCATAACATCACTTTCTCTGCCCCCCCCCCAGCTCAGCTACGAGGCACCCAGGGAAGCTCTAAGGGAGGCCTCCCCAACACAGCTATCTCTGGTCCTTCAATGCTGGTTCCAGCTAGCACTTACCTTCTGTTCCCTCATCACTACCATCTTCTGATAAACAAGGGAACGGGTCTGGAATGGCATTCATGCCTTTGCCCTGGGTCCACCTCACCCTATTTTCTGTGTAAAACCGAGGGACAGGCTCATTTGCTTGCAGGGTTGTGCTAGCCAAACAGGCCGCAAAGTGCACAGAGTTATTCTAGATCAATGGTTCCCAACTTTGGGTCACCGGATGTTCTTGGACTAAAATCCCAGAAGCCTTCACCACCAGCTGTACTAGTCAGGATTTTTGGGAGTTGTAAGCCAAGAACACCTGGCAACCCAAGGTCGGGAACCACTGTTCTAGATGGTACGGCAATATAAAGAATTAAGCCAAACAGAACAGATACCTGAAGTAAACTCAGACTACCAGTAAACTCGTTATATCCATCATTCTAGAAAATTTAGGATATGCAAAAGGAAGGCCTATTTGTTATCTGTAATACAAGTACTATCTTGATTTCAAATGCCTTTGATGAATGTGTTAAATATACAAGCAGTTACTCTTAGCACACTAACAAAGGCAAGGGAAGAACATAGGCTGATTGATTCCTATAAATTTTTGAATTACTGGTTTAAATCAGTGACTCATTGACTACTGATTCAAATGGTGAGTTCGACACCAAGAAACTCCCAGTTTAAATGATTTACTTAGATAAGGTGTCCCACTGAGAGTTATCCACATAGTTCTTATGCAACCTGATTCTTAAAACTTGTTAATTCATTCAGTATAGCATTTTTCTGAACAGTCTTGTGTGGGCATTTCCCAGGGGATGTATCATTTTTGAAAGATACACAACCCAATCTTTTGTGTATCTTTACATAAGCACATACTGTTGGAACACTGTGCACACTTCCATCAGGGGTTACTCTGGCTAAATATCTCCTCAACATTTCTTTTATACTGCTGGGGTATTTGTATTTATATCTCAGACCCAGATGGCTGGGAAGTCCAGTCCCACCTCTCCAAACCGATCCATCCAGTTATGGGTTGCCACGTGGCGCATGGGGCCAGCATTCTGCTTGTTGCACCAATTCCAAACTTAGCCTGGCTGGTACCTCTCTGCTTCCCTGTGCTGCTTGCCACTAGGCAGCTGAGCAGGGAGGCTCTTCTTTCCACCTCCTGGATGGAGTGACGAGCAACACAGGGAGGTGGAGATGCGGCAGCCGGGCTATGTCTAGGATTGGGGCAAAAAGCAGGATGCCAGCCCCACATGGTGACCTGTAACAGGACAGGTAGGTTCGGGAACGTGTGACTGGGCTTCCTGCTCACCTGGGTCCAAGATATTTGTATTTGCACATGAATACAAATATCCTATCTCTATGTTCTTTCTCATATACGTATTGGATGGCATATATCTACTACCAATGCCTGAATAGTATTTGTTGTTGTTTAGTCGTTGTGTCTGACTCTTCGTGACCTCATGGACCAGAGCACGCCAGGCCCTCCTGTCTTCCACTGTCTCCTGGAATTGGGTCAAATTCATGTTGGTAGCTTCGGTGATACTGTCCATCCATCTCGTCCTCTGTCGTCCCCTTCTCCTCTTGCCCTCGCACTTTCCCAACATCAGGGGCTTTTCCAGAAAGTCTTCTCTTCTCATCAGATGGCCAAAGTATTGGAGCCTCAGCTTCAGGATCCGTCCTTCCAGTGAGCGCTCAGGGTTGATTCCCTTCAAAATGGATAGGTTTGTTCTCCTTGCAGTCCAGGGACTCTCAAGAGTCTCCTCCAGCACCACAATTCAAAAGCATCAATTCTTCAGCGGTCAGCCTTCTATATGCTCCAGGTCTCACTTCCATACATCACTAGTGGAAAAACCATAGCTTTGATGATGCAGACCTTTGTCAGCAAGTTGATGTCTCTATTTTGTAAGATGCTGTTGAGATTTGTCGTCACGTTCCTCCCAAGAAGCAGGCGCCTTTTAATTTCGTGGCTGCTGCCACCATCTGCAGTGATCATGGAGTCCAAAAAAGTAAAATCTGTCACTGCCTCCATATTTTCCCCTTCTATTTGCCAGGAGGTGATGGGACCAATGGCCATGATCTTAGTTGTTTTTTTTTTTTTTTTTGTTTTTTTTTTTTTGATGTTGAGATTCAAACCATTTTTGGCGCTCTCCTCTCTCACCCTCATTAAGAGGTTCTTTAATTCCTCCTCACTTTCTGACATCAGAGTGGTATCATCTGCATATCTGAGGTTGTTGATATTTCTCCTGGCAGTCTTAATTCCAGCTTGGGATTCATCCTGTCCAGCCTTTCGCATGATGTATTCTGCATATAAGTCGAATAAGCAGGGAGACAATATACAGCCTTGTCGTACTCCTTTCCCAATTTTGAACCAATCAATTGCTCCATATCCAGTACTAACTGTTGCTTCCTGTCCCACATACAACTTTCTCAGGAGACAGATAAGGTGCTCAGGCAGTCCCATTTCTTTAAGAACTTGCCATAGTTTGCTGTGGTCCACACAGTCAAAGGCTTTTGCATAGTCAATGAAGCGGAAGTAGATGTTTTTCTGGAACTCTCTGGCTTTTTTCATAATCCAGTGCATGTTAGCAATTTGGTCTCTAGTTCCTCTGCCCCTTCGAAATCCAGCTTGTACTTCTGGGAGTTCTCAGTCCGCATACTGCTGAAGCCTGTCTTGGAGGATTTTGAGCATAACCTTGCTAGCATGTGAAATGAGTGCAATTGTACGGTAGACATAGTAATACCTGGTCATAACAACTCAACTATCAATAAAATATGGTTGATTATCAATGCAAAAAGAAATTATTCTTGGCCTAAATGAACCAAGCAAACTGTTTGATTATGGTGTCTTTCTATTATTTTCTGGTCCTTAAACACATTTATTCATCAAGGATATTTTACTGTATAAAACTTTTCTTTTTACTTACACTTTGTTAACTGAAATATGACACTGTTCC